AAGTTGAATTGAAGTTGAATAGCATTTCTCTGTGCAATGAAATTCTTCCTTTGGTGTTAAAGGAACAAGATAATAAAGATAAAAATAAGGATAAAAAAATAATGAAAGATAAATAAATAAGTACAAAGATAAGTAAGTGAAGACAAGTGAGGTATGCAGATGTCGATGTAGATGGATGTACAAAGGAGCTTAATGTGTTGTGTTCAAAGTGTGCTGATGTACAAATCGCAGTTGGGGTAGGTCAGCTGTTCAGTTTTATAGCATATATTCTGGATGTATGCTGCAGTTTGAAAAAAAAAAGCCATTGTTTCTTAATAACAATTAAAATAAATATCTTGTGTTTCACCTTTTTGAGCTGCCAGACAGATAATTCAGACTTATTTCAACACACTTATTTATGTATCCTTACTTTCTGTAAAAAAAATCCTTCTTACTTTCTGAAATGGAGATGTTGTGAACCTTCAAAAATAAATGGGTGACATAAGGTATAATACCTATGAAAAATGTGATTTGGTCTAAGCGCATTATCAAGACTAGGAACACTCAGCTCCTGGGGCGGAAAGTTGATCATTTTGGAAACCTGAAAGTGAGCTAATGCATAGCTGATGGCATGGGAATGCAGGAAGTACAAATATATGTTTATATACATATTTCAAGGCTTGATGGCATCAAGTAAATGAGTGATCCACTCATTTATTTTATATATATTGTCCTATTTCACTACAGTTTTCTTTTTTGTGTTCTTGTATGTGCTGATTTTTGTATAAGTGAAGCTGGCTTTTATGGGTGTGTGGCTTCTTTCTTTGTTGCATGACGCACCATTCCTCTGTGATACTGTTTTGAGCAGTCTTTTATAGATTTAAATGACTCCAGGAAAAAAGATCAGATAAGAGATAAAGCTGTAATGCCTTCGTATGAAAGATTACCATAAAACTCAACAGGATTATCAATACCCGTGATCTAAGTAACAAATAAAAAAAGCCAAGATGCAACCAGACCCCGAGTGAACTTCTAGTCTAACTAATGACTGTGACAGAATCAGTGATTTTTGTCATATATCTCCACTCCTACCTCGGACCCACGCAGCGTCACCGACTGTCAGAATTGACACCATCGTAATTTGATGCGCCAGGACTCTGGCAGCTTCATCACAGACACGAAAAGGAAAGGGGGGTGCTCAGTGCTCACAGATGGCATTTATATGATAATTCTAACCACTAGCAGACACCCATGAGCTTTCACACTGAACTCTATCAGGTCCAAATGGATTTTAGTAACCATCTGCAAGGAGGGGAGTGTGTCACTGAAAACACGAGCGATGGTCTAGATGGATGGGATTCAGGCAATTTGCTCGCACGTTACCGAACACATTTTTCCACGGTGGTTATAAAATATATATATATATATATTGTATAAAAGAGATGAGTAAATGTAGAGTGGGGGATGATTGATTCAAAAAGTAGAAAGTTCTGATCTTTACGCACAGACATGCATTACAGTAGAGTAAATAACTATTTATGTCCTCTGAGAAACAGACTGATGCGTGTTCTTAGGTTAGGCATTAGAAACTGAATTTCAAAACTACTTTCAAATTAATCTCTATTGTCTCCACTGTTTCATTGTTCAGTGGCTCCGTTTTGCTTTGAAGCCTCCTTTAATGCACTAACAACCTAATTATCACCAAGAGCGATTCGACAAGCAAGTAAGAACAATCTTACATCCTAGATAACCTCAGCTTACCGTTTTCACAGACACGGATTAAATCAAGTCTCAGACTGATGAACAACCAAAAAAAGCACTTTGTTATTACACAGATAACACTCACATGGGGCATTATTAGCCTCTGCTATCACCTCTGCCCTGCATAACAACAAGAATGTAATGGCTCCAACTTCTTCTTTTATAGCCTCTAAATTACTTTTAAATTGTTCTCTGTTTATTTGACAGTAATTGTTGCCACTTTGCTTGTGTTTGCGTACTGCAGATGTGAAGTTGTTGCCTCCAAGCAACTGAGTTGCAGTGAACTGACATAATTAGTACATGGGCGTTTGACAAGGAACAACATGATTAATACTGAATTACGACCTGCTGGCATTGCACCATTTTTAATGAGCACGCTTAATTAAAACAGCTTCCAAGAAATCATCGCGCCCACTTTGCTGTTGGTGGATCTTCGCATTCAGAGGGTCAGGGGTCTTTCTCACCGTCAGCTCCAGCAGGTCGTTGAGAAGTCCGTTGCGTTTGCTCTGAAGGAAGGCGTTGGCGCTGCCGGTCTTGGCTATTCTTATCCTGGCCAGTCTGGCTTTCTGGGTGTGGGAAGAAGAAGAAGTCACAGCATCAGACAAGGTAGGCGGGAGGTCGGAGAAGATGACTAATACCTATTTAATGATGAGAATCTGCCAACTCATCACACAAACTCTGTAGTAATTTTCACAGTTACTACACGACTGCTCTTATCTCTGCATTTTCAAGTTTCTCTCTTTCATTATATATGACAGAGACTGCTGTCATGTTCTTGTGTCCGTAACATGCTGCTACTGAGTATGTCTGTAAGTCGGCACCCAAACAATACACTCATTTGGGATTGCTGAAAATTTAATTTCAAGTCTGAAATGAGCATAAATATGTTGCTATCTAGCTGCTGCAGATTTTTGCTCACATTTAGCTGAAATCCCAGTAGTGATGTTGGGCGATAAGGCCTGGCTCAGTTTCCAGTTTTTCCCAAAGATGCTGACTGAGGCTGAAGTCACCAGCTAGAAAAAGGTTTTAGACAGCAAATTCTACAATAATGGCTTGTCTTTGTGTTTGGGGGAAACATGATCGGATATCAAGTTACTGGAGGCTTAAACCAACAGGTGTGCAAGAATATGAGGACTTTTAAACAGGTTTAAAACAGTTAAATAATATGTAAATACTTTAATCAGTTTTTAGTCTAACACAGTGCTCTTTTTGAATATATAAAGCTCTCTTATGTTTTATAGAGAAAACAACAATCAAAATCATGAAAGCAATTCTTGGATAGTTGTAGCTTTAATTGGGATGTCTAACAACAATTTTGCCAAGGCAGTGTAGATTGAATCAAAAAGCTTTTTTTTTTAAATGAATGTCTTCTTTTAACTTTTTATTCTTTCATCTGTAACTTTAGTCTTTATATTTTCTGATTCTTTACAGCTTCGCTTTTTCTAGTTTTTCCTTCCAGTCCATTGATACTGAGTTGTTTGTTTTTGTTTGTTTTTTATAATTCATTTTATTTGGATCCCTGGAAGAGCAGCAAACTCTGACTAATCATAAATAAAGAATGAAGAATCACGATGATCTCTTTGAAACTCCAATTTTTGGCAGAAAGTTGTGAGACTTTTGAGTCTGAACCCTTCAGATAGATTCTTCTAAAACAGGATAAAACTAAAGAGTCGATCCACCAAGAAAAGCAACAACAACAAAAAATGGGCTCAAACTAAGAAAAATATAAATGCAACATGAAGCCAAGTCTTGCATTTAATGGTGCTGCAAGCACAAATTGATAATTTGCTGCATTAGTGCCAATTATGCCCATGAGAACCTACTGAGTACAAAATTGCAAAGTCTGTTTGCCAACATTTAGCAGTTTATTTTATTCCCTTTCTGTTGCAGCAAAAATATAAAATTGCTTTAAATAACAGATAAAATAATAGAACAAAGGAGACAGGAAATGAGAGACATTGCATTAAGGATTTCATAAAATGAAGAGGATATTATGACAACTGTAAGGTGAGCTTTATCTTTAACCCCCACTCTCTCTCTCTCTCACTCCCTTTATATACATTTAAGAAACAGGAGATACCGAAGAACATCTGCTTTCCAGACATGATTCAAAAGTAATATTTAGACGCTTCAAAAACCGCCTGTCAAACTAGTGAAGTTGTATAAAAAGCTGGAACCTGAGAGGTAATAATAGTGCTTGTGTATGTACGTGGTCAGTATGTGAAACAGGGGTAAAATGCGAGGATCATTGACTGCTTCTTTCTGCAGCTGAAGAGTGAATGAATTAAGAACCAGTGAAATTACCGTCACAAGCTGCCTGGCTTTATGATTGATCAAAAGTACTACTTGACACAAGAAAGGGAAAAATATGAAAGAATAAGCGTCTCTGATTCTTCTGTAAGTGC